CCAGTGACTAAACAGCGTGTGCCCCACAGCCAGAGAAGCCACCGCAGCGAGAAGCCCCCACGCCTCAGCCCAGAGTCGCCCCCGCTCTCCGCAGCTAGAGAGAAGCTCGGGCAGCAACCATGACTCAGTACAGCCAAAAACAAACGCATAAAACTACTTGTTTTAAAAGTTGCTGTTTTTTAGTAGGGACTTTATCCTATTTACTTTTATTATGTAACTTTTATAGTAATGTCGCAGGTATTAAAATTTTAGGTTCAGTTAATTTTTTTGTAGACTTTGGAAGACCCTGCTCTTGATTTTTGTGTTTAACATTGCCGGTGAAAAGCAACGCCTGATTCTCCTTCCTTTGTAAATGCCTTGTTTTCTTTTTGGTTGGGCTACTAAAATTTTCCCTTTATCTTAAAAGTTTTGCCAGTATTTCTAGGTGTAAGACACTTTAATCGGAAACTAGTCTTTGTTCAGCCAGTTGTTTTTTGTAGTGATACAGATATCAGTTCAACAGAAAAAAATAGGCTCTTGTCTTTCAGCTTCCTCATCTATTAAATGGAAAGTATGCTTAATGAATGTTACCTCTGATGTTAAATATTATAACTTTTCTTCCAGAGTACTTTCTCTGACTATAATTGTTCTATTTTCTCTTTTCCTGGTACTCTACTAGACAGACATTGGACCATTCTGATCCGTTTCACACGTCTGTTTTATTTTTTTTCTTACTTTCTGTCTTCATTTTTTATTACTGACTACATTCTGGGAGAACCCTAGTTGACTAATAAGAAGAAAATTTGGTAGAAGTTAAAAACAGTTTTCTTCCTTGGAAGAAAAGCTGTGACCAACCTAGACAGCATATTAAAAAAGCAGAGACATAACTTTGGCAACAGTGGTTCATCTAGTCAAAGCTGTGGTTTTTCCAGTAGTCATGTATGGATGTGAGAGTTGGACTATAAAGAAAACTGAGCACTGAAGCATTTATGCTTTTGAACTGTGGTGCTGGAGAACTCTTGCGAGTCCCTTGGACTGCAAGGAGATCCAACCAGTCCATCCTAAAGGAGATCAGTCCTGAATATTCATTGGAAGGACTGATGCTGAAGCTGAAACGCCAATACTTTGACAACTTGATATGAAGAACTGACTCACTGGAGAAACCCTGATGCTGGGAAAGATGGAAGGTGGGAGGAGAAGGGGAAGACAGAGGATGAGATGGTTGGATGGCATCACCAACTTGGTGGACATGAGTTTGAGCAAAGTCTGGGAGTTGGTGGTGAACAGGGAGGCCTGGCGTGCTGTGCTTTGTGGAGTCACAGAGTCGGATACGACTGACTGGACTGGACTGAACTGAACTGAGAAACAGTTTGGTGTGTTGAAAACTAGTAGGATTTGATACTTCTTAGAGCACGTAGACAGTTATAGCAGTTGGTATAAAATAAGCACATGATAAGTAATTGAACAAGCTTTGAAATATCCTGAAAATTTTTGTTAGTGCTTCATATTCATCTTTAATTTCGGAAATTTTGTTGATTGTGTTTTATTGGATAGTATAAATTTATTTGGGAAGAGCCTTCCTTATTTTTATTTAGTGAAATTAAAGTTTTGGAAGTTCCTTAGACTCTTTCTTACAGGTGAGAACTCTCTTGTATTATGAACTGTCATTGAGAGTTTTCTCTTGGATGTGTTCTTGGACAAATGTCAAAAGATATTATAACACTTTGCTTTTTATCTCCCCGTCTCCTCCTTTCTATTTTTAATGATTAAAAAAGTAGAAAAAATTATTCAGGAATTTTAAATATTGAGTCAAGTAAATTGTTCAGTTGATAAACCATTTAAAAGCTATTTATCTTACCTGCTTTTCACTAGATGTTAATTCACTTTGCAATTGTTTATAATTTGTTATCTTATAATTTGCTTGATTTCTGACATGTGGTATATGAGGGTGCTGATGTTTAGAGAAGTTTCTTTTGGAAATTTATTCTTTGACATTTTCTACAATTTTATAGATGCATTTATTTGATTCAAAAAGATATATTACAGTCTGTATAGAAAATATATATTTTCTTTCAATGCCAAATGTCTTTCATTAGCTGTGCTGTTATAACAGATGGGTTTGAAGTGTTCAGTTAAATGCAGCTAGTATTTTATTTCCCTTCCTGTATTCCCCGATATCTTTATATGTAATTATAAATTAGTATGTTGGCTACATTCCAGATCTTCACATAGTAGTTTAGCTAATGTCATATAATATTTTCCATTGCAAATATGATTAAGAGAACATGTTGATGTTTCTAAAATGATACAGACAGTGGGAAAAGAATCAATTTAAATTATTTTGTTTCCTTATTATGCAGTTAAATAAGAGTCATTATATTTTATTTGCCAAAATTATTTTTAGAGCACAAGGCTTCTGTACAACTTGCCATGTGCTATAAAAATAATGGAGATTCTAGATTTTAACAGTTTAGCAGACTTATTTTGTGATGTTAATGAGTTAATGAAAGATTTTCAGTGGTTGACTGGATGTATACATCCACTTTCCTCCTTCAGCATTATCTTGGCCTTTCCAGTGTGACTCAAGGATACTCAGATTACCTAGATAACATATGTGTCTTTAATTCTGGGTTCTGTTAATATAACTTAACATGTTTAGATGCCATGAGAGGGTATGACAGAAAAATATATTTAGTTTGTAAGAAGCCGATTAGTATACTTTATTTCTTCATTTTTTTTAAATACAGTAATATCTTTGAGTACAAAAGGACGGCTGAAATGAGTGTTAGTCTCTGAACTTGAGGGCATTATGTAAAAGTTAAATGTCACAAATATAGCTAGTGTTTGAGTTATTGGGGCTTCCCAGGTGACTCAGTGGTAAAGAATCTGCCTGCCAATGCTGAAGGTGGGGTTCAATCCCTGGGTTAGAAGCTCCCCTGGAGTAGGAAACAGCACCCCATTCTAGTATTCTTGCTTGGAAAATTCTATTTAAAGAAGAGCCTGGTCGGCTCTCGTCCGTGAGGTCTCAAAGAGTAGGACATGACAGCCTCTGAACGTGTTCGCATAAGTAACTTAGAAGGTGCAGTGATCTGTTGCTTGCAGCTAAAATGTGTAGAAGACACACGAAGAGGCAGGTAGTGGATTGATGGTTATGAGCAAGAGTTTGATGGCATGTGATATCTTATGTCGATTTACTTGCAAGACCTTCAAATTATTTATAACTTAAAAGCTATTGTATTCTCTAATTGAGTAGCAGAATATAGAATCAGTATATTAGCATGTGAAGATATCCATGGTAATGTTAGCAATTTTACCCTATTACATGAAGCTCAGTTTTACCATATATTGTTCCGTTTGACTTCAGTTATTTCAGCTCTTCTGTTAGCAAAAATGTAGTTCATTTAGTGTACATAAATATGAACATCAGTTTATTAGTGCCTTTCTATGTCAGGCAGTATTGATGGTGCTAAGAATACAAAGACAGTACAGTCTGCTTGCTCTACTCAAGGATCTTGGACCAAGGTGAAAAAAAGACCCATAAACAATTACCATGCCATAGCATAAATGCTGAAACAGAAGCATATGGCAGCTAATCATCTACATGCAGAGGGAGATTTTATACTGTGTGATGCAGGCCACCCAGCAGACTCCTGATGCCCAAAGTGGGCTTGGGAGGATGAGGAAGTTTATTGATTATTCTTAAGGAAAGCTGAGTAAGTACATTGACGAAGTGGATCATCATACTGACTGCTTAACACATTTCAGGTGCCCTAGACTTGCTTTGTTGTTTGTTTGAGACATTCCTTTGATTTTATCACTTGCCAGAGAGTAGAGGCGGATGGCCATGGGGAAAGCAGGAAGTCAGAGGGCTTAACTTTTCTGCACACCTCCGACTTTCTAAGGAAACTTGAAACTGACTTCTGCAATGAAGTGTGTAGATTTGTGTGTGTGCCTTTGACAATGTAGCTGCCACTCATTGGCTAATTCTCTGCTGCACTATTTTACTTCATACTGATTTTTGTGTGTGCTCATGCTCAGTGGTGTCCGACCCTTGCGACCCCATGGACTGTATCCTGCCAGGTTCCTCTGTCCATGGATTTCTTCAGGCAGGAATACTGGAGTGGCTTGCCATTTCTTTCTTAAGGGGATCTTCCCAAATCACGGATCGAGCCTGTGACTCTTATGTCTTCTGCATTGGCAGGGATTCTTTACTGCTCGTGGTACCCAAGAAACCCCATGTTGATTTTTAGGCAGGGGGAAAACAGTAAGAGGTTTTGTAACTAGTTTTTCTCTGTTTTATCTGCTTATTGATGGGGTTTAATCACCTGTTGAAAATAACCCTCAACTAGAAAACTACCCTTTTAACCATAGTATTTTTTAAAGAATGGTAGTTGTATGTTTTTGACAAAGTCAGTAGAAAAAAAGTGAAATGCTAACTTTCTAAACTTGATGGAAGAATGAACATATATTAAACCAAGCACTGAATGGAGACCTTAGATTTTACCATTTTCACTGATTATTTAGTATTTATTTTTGCAGGCTTCAAAGTGTTTCATTAGCAATGTACAGGGACTTCTTAAAATCTTCCTTGCCCCACATTTGAATGTTACTTTTCCGGATTTTATAAGGAGGTTTCTTTATGCTTTGCTCCCTTCCAGCGATGTGCATTTTGTAAGCACCTTGGAGCCACTATCAAATGCTGTGAAGAGAAATGCACGCAGATGTACCATTATCCTTGTGCTGCTGGAGCCGGCACCTTTCAGGATCTCAGTCACTTCTTCCTTCTTTGTCCAGAACACATTGACCAAGCTCCTGAGAGATGTAAGTTTACTACAGATCCATCTAAAAACACTTACTACCAATGTAGTTACTTAAAATAACAGATGTTGTAAGTTCCCGAAGTGTTACTCTGCTTGTGGTAAAAGGTAGTATCATATAATACTGAGAGAGGGCTTCAGAAGAGATCCTTGGGGGTGGGGGGTGGGGGGAGCAAGGAGCCGGGGGAGAAATCTGTTATCAACATTATCTTTGATGGTATATCTGAAAAGTTATTTGCTTGAAAACTCAAAGATAGTTTGCATGGTTTTTTTTTTTTATTCTTATTTTAAGAATCTAACTACTGTATGCTGAGTATATTTGCTGAGTTTATGGTATTTTAATATGTACTATAAGGTATTAATAGGTCATTTAAAAAATTAAAATGTCTTTAATTCAATGTCTTTTACACTAAAAAAGAAAAACAAAAACTCCCTAGTTGGAAATTTGGAAGATGGTTCACTCAGGTGTTATTTCAGGATGTATGTTGATAGGATCACCAAAACACTTTGGAGAATCTTGGAAAATGTATGGTCCTGATATTTTGTTAGTGCTTCTTCTTGATTCATCTGTCTTGGTTATGGTTATCTATTATCCTCAGTTGTCTTTTTTTCCCTTTCTTTTCCAAACAGTATTTTATAATTAGGTGAAAAGGCTTAAGTGTTTTCAATTTGTGTTATATAGAAAATTATAGCTCTTTCCTATCCCTTTCATTAAATAGAGATCTTATTTGTTTCTTAGTGTATGGATTTCCAATGAGTATGCATGTTTTGGGATCTTTTTTCCCCTAGTAAATTGAATTTCCAATCTGCTTGTGAAATCTCTGTAATTCAGTCTTTTTTAAATTTTTTTTTAAATGTCATCTCTTGGTTATCTAACTGTTAGCTTTTACCTGTTTCTTAGAATGTCAATAAAGGCTTTTTTCCAGCTTTGTGAAACATAAATACAGCTACCTCAGGCTTAAACTAATCTCAAACACAGTTAGACTTCATAATCATTATTTTTTCTTTGTTCAGAACCATAATTTTATCTTCAGTTATTTTGTGTCTACATGTATAATCATATTGCCCTTAATCCCTGTACAGACATAAATTATAGGGAAGGCAGACTGAAATGTCAGATTGTATTTAGGCTAATAAGAAATTTAAAGTTTTAAACATGTTTTGGATTATACACTGTTTCATCTGGGAGAAAAAGAACATTCATGCACAGCTACTATTATGGGTGGTGTTTATTTTAAGACCTCAGGAAGTGAATTACTTCATTAAGTGCACAGACTGTGATGCCATTCATCAGAGTTGATTATACTCTGGGTGTTACAACACACTTTTCCAATTGAATAAAACAATTGTGGGTGTGTTTGAGAGTTTTTATTTAGCCTTTTGTACATCATCATGATTTAGACTTCACTAAACAACATGCAAACTTTTCTATGACCATGGTTCCAACACAAGAAATTCTGTTACTTATTGACAGTACTGCTTTCTCTTGCAGACTATGTTCACATAACATACGTGATTTATATACATTTATATGTTAGGGATCATAAAATATTTTGTAAAATAATGAAATGTAAGAACTGAGTTGAGATGATTTGCTGTCAGTTACCATGCATAGTTCCTGCTGCCAACATAAAGCTAAAAAGATACACTTAAATTGTTGGTGCCTTCCCTTGTCCCAGAGTAGACTTACAGAGACTCAAGGTAAGAAGAGAATTTGGCCAGTGGGAAGAGAGAATAGGGTGAGGTTGACTCCCAGAGGAAGTGTACTCCCTAGGCCTGAGCCGCACAGCCGGCTGCGGAACGCCCGAGCAGTCAGCATGAAGAAGGGTGTGCGAGCGGTTTGCCTGATTTGCAGTAATAAGAGTTCACTAGACTGTGTGTACACACTACAGGGCAGTGAAGATTTGTCTCACAGCAGCTTAAGTAGATCCCACAGGGCAGTTTCTTGTAACAGCCCTCAATATAAGTCAGTGGTGTAAAACCAAAGCCCAACCGAGCAAATTCTATTCCTTGGGGATCGTAAACAATGCAACCTGAAGACACAGCTTTCTGACTCTCTGTTTCAATGCAAGGAGGTAAAGAATATTGCCAGTAGCAATATCCTACTTTGCAGGAATATACAGATGAGGTAATCATCCTATAAAATCTTTCATTTGTATTTTTCGTTGTCCTAATCGTCTGTCACAGCATGAAGCACTTCTTATGTTTTAAAAATGTGGATATCTTAAATGACAGTGTTATAATTGATGCTTAAATGACAGTGAAAACCATATAGCCTTGTACCATATACATGTGTATATATATGAATTACTGTACTAAAAGGTAGTTCTTTCAGCTCTTACCTAAGGCTCCAGTTATGGGTATACACCAAGTGTAATTCTTGGTCCTGCTGGCTAAGCTCAGAGCCATGTGCAGTGGTAGTGAACTGAGTTAGTATGAGCGATATCTTTTTTATGAAAGTTGAGAAATCTAAAAAAAAAACATGGACCTCAAAAAAAAAAAAAAATCCCAGCAAAGAGAGTGTCTGTGAGCTTTTATCAGAAAATAATTTGGGTGCTGCGTCCTGGAGACATGCTGGTCAGGATTGTCACCTTTCATGCTGATGCCAGTGTCCACTAGCCTAGCCTGGAAATTTTACACCAACTATCCATCTCGGAGACAGAGCCACATGTTCTTCCCGGGTAGTAGTCTGCCCCCGAGGGAAGCCTGAATGGCAGAGAGCCAGCCGTGCAAGATCAGAGGAGAGCATTTTCCAGGCAGAGCGAACAGCTACTGTCAGGCCACGTGGCATGAACTTGGCGTGGTCGTGGAGTAGGCAGGAGTCAGTGTGCTGGAGCTTGGTGTCTGCCAGGTGCATAGTGCAGAGCATGTGCAGGTGAACGCAGGCCTTGTGAACAAGGGAAGGCATTTGGATGTATCCTGTCAGCCATGAGAAGTCTTTTGCAGGGTCTGAACCTGGGAATGATGCATCTCAAGCCACTCTGCCTCCCCCAGTGTTTACTGAGCTGTAGCTGCTTCTACTTCATTTTAACTCCATAGCTAATACCTAATGTTAGCTGTGTTTCTCCTGACACCACATCCTGCAGCTTTTTTGTTCCCTGAAATCTGTCAGCCCAGTGACCTTTGTTTCTTACCTGCCTGCCTGCTGTGTGGGCCACCCTCTCTGGACAACATCCATGGTTTGCTTTTTCTTTCTGGAGATTCCATATTGATAGGCAGATCACCCTGCAGCGTCCTACCAGGGATGAAAACCTAGGTCATAGAGGTTGTAACGTCGATGGAAGTAAGAAAGCTGTGCTTGTTTAGTCCTTTTTAAGTTGACTGTCTGATGATAATCTCACATCTGTTCTTTCTTCCTGTGTGAACTCTAGGCTCTCTTAAGCAGTGGTCTCCCCTTCCAGTTTGACCGTGTTTAGAGATCCATAACAAGCCCCTGTGTAATTTAGGCTCCATTTTCCTGTCTTTTCCTCCATTTCTTCTCGTCACCCGGCTGTCACCTAGGCAGTGACGTGTCCACAGCTTGTCCTTCTGTTTCTCCCCTTCTTTTCTTGCTCCCCTACGCCATTTAGCTCCTTCGCCCCGTGCCTGTGCCGGCGCTCCACCTTCTACTTCTGTGCGCACTCGGATATTCTTTGCCCTCTTTGCCCTTCCAGTGGGCATCAACATCTTTGGAGAGAGACTGAGCTGGATTTTACTCCTGTCCTTCCTTAAATTGTCTTTAGCTTTTGTCTACTCTGTCTATTTTGCTTTCCCAACTGCTTAAAGAAAATGTTCACTTAGTCATTTGATTATTGCTTCAAACTTAATGCCTCTGTGACTTTCAGACATACATGTATGTAGAAGTACATATACTTATGTCTGACATGACACGCTATCCAGTAATATCTTCTTATGCATGACCTTCAAAAGGCCGTTTTAATATTTCTACATATTCCTGTATGTTCTCACAGGTTGAACAAGTGGTTGGAACCAACTTTTTTCTATTATTATTTTTATATAATGCTTAATAGATCTTTTATGCTGAATCTAATCATGTGGAATTTTTTTTTTTTTGGCCCAGTTTATTACATGAGGCATACTAATCAAGCAACATGACTATTGACATCAAGGAATTGGTGGAAAATGTCATAGAATAAAAAGTAATCCCTGCCACAGTGATGCACACAACTGTCTTGTTATAGAATGAGCTTTGCTATATAAAACAGGGCTGTGCAATAGAAATATGATGTGAGCAATATATGTTATTTTAATTTTTCCAATAGTTATGTAAAATTTTTTATTTGAAATTAATCTTAACAATACATATTTAATCCAGTATATCCAAAATGTTAATATGTCAACTTTTAATCAATAAAATTTTGAGCTATTCACAGTAATATTTTTTCCTGTTAAATCTTTGGAATTCAGAGTGTGTTTTATGTAAAGCACATGTCAGTTTGGACTAATTACATTTCCATTGTCCACTTAACTACATGTGACTGGTAGCTCCCAGGCAGTTAAGTTGCAGAGTAGCAAACTCTAAAAGTTTCACAGGATGAACTGAATATCTGATAGAGTCCAGTATTTGCCACAATTTCTGTATGTTCTGAGGGTAAGAAAAATCAAAGGTTAGTTTTTAAATGTACTTGAATGAGTTAAATATGGCACTCTCTTTTAGTATTAAGAGAAATAATTTGCTCTGTTTTGTTGCCATTTCTATAAAAATGAATTAATACATGTAATTTCATTTTTAAAAGTAATGCTTTCTTCTAAATATCTCATAATTAACTGGATTATAAAAGTTTCTTCTAAGCATATGGGAAGAGAAATAGTCAACAACCAAATGGGCATTTAGGTGTGGTAACGTTCGAAAGTCAGGGTTTATGTCTGAGCAAGAGTTTTAAAGGCCTCTTTGGAACGGGCTTGCAGTGCAGCAAGGGAGCACAGTTACAGGCGGAAGAAGCAGGACGCGTGCAGCCTCACAGGGTTGCGCAGCCTGTGGTGGTGTGTTCTGTGCACAGCAGACTGCTTGATCTATCCAGGAAATAGTTCTGAGATTCAGTTGGAAAAGGATATAAAGCCCCCCTTCCTTTTTTATTTTTTTGCCTCAAGAAACTTTTGGTTTTTTTAAGGTGAGGAAGGAGGTATTGATAAAGTTTAAATTGCGGCAGGGCATAATAGTTGCAGAAAATTGCTCTGGATGTGTGGGTGATTAGGGAGGAGGTCAGAACCCTGGGCAAACATTCCATTGAGCAGGTGACTGCAGTTATTAATACCAAGACAGAGTGTGATGGAGTGAGCTGTACAGATGGATGGAAGAGGGGTATTGATATAGAAAGTTTACTCGATAAGAACTACTGTCCATTTGGGTATGTTGGGTCAGGGACAAGTTTAGGGTCAGTAGTGACACTAATGCTTCTTTACCCAGCAGGTCAAGAAAGAAGGGGGAAGTTTAGGTTTTAAAAATAAGTTTTATGCTAGAGGTGTAGAGATTGGCTGTTTTTAGAACATGTGGCTATTGAAGTCCGGAAAGGCTTGAAAATAACATTTGAGGGTTAGATAGAAAGACGTTTGGGGCTAGTGATAAGAGTTGTGGGAATTATGGTGTTTTTATGGTGTAGAAGTTGATGTGATTATGGTGTTTTTATGGTGTAGAAGTTGATGTGATTACAAAGAAAAAGCTATTGGGGATTGGGAAAGGAGGAAGAGAACGGAACCCTGAGAGCCTCCAGCATTTGGAGGCCTTGTAGAGCTGAGGAGGAGCACAGGTTTGAGCCGGAGGCGTAGGGAGCCTCAGGAGTTACCAGGAGAAAGCGGCCATCCTGGAACTCAAGGTAGGACACTCAGTGAGTGAAATGCCAGCCGCAAGTGCTGTTGACAAGGCAGGAAAGGTAAGGCCTGCGAAGTTACAGGCGCTTCCGAGGAGTGGCGGTTGCGCAGCCACTAGGCCCAGCTTACATCTCGAGACAGCCCAGGGCCTGTCTGTGCACTGCCCTCACACCGCAGGTTTTGTTTTTTTTAACCATTCTAAAAGGACTCTATAAACAAGAGATCTGTATGCCAAAGACTTCTACAGCCCACAAGACCAACTGTCAACTAACTCCAGGTATAAGGAAAAGGAACAGATCATTAAGTGTTTCTAGACTGGGGGAAAGGCAGGCACGTAGGAAGGACTTGAAGCCAGAGAGGACTGACCAGATCTTCAGAAAGCAAAAGAGAAAAAAATACTATGTATGATTTAAAACAGTCCTCAGACAATCAGCTGATCAGACCGTTGAATTGAGAGCATACTAAATGTAGTTACAGGCATACTCATGTATCATCAAATTGGTATGATTTTAGAATACATTCTTTTCCTTATTATATTGTAATATGCATGAGTTTAACTTTGTGCTTGGCAAGGCAGTTTATTCTTTATTTTAGATGGTACAAGAAGTGTTAAAAAGTGCCATTCCTTTTAATCCACATTTAGTGATAGATAATGTTGATAATTATATAGATTTTTAATGTTTTGTTTTACAACTCGCAGTTAATATACATCAATATAGAATTAGTATATGAAGTATTGTATTTGTGTATGAATATATAGCTTCCATCTTTAATGTTCTCCCTCATATGATATTTTCCAGTATTAAAAAACCCTTATTTGATTTGAATAAAAATTAGTCTGTTTATGCTTAAGAAGCATCTTAATCTACTTGATACTAGCATTTCTTAATTTTGTCTCTTACTTTATTTTGTTAATTTCAAAACCTTATGTATAATATCCAGATTAAAATGTTTGTCTTTGCATTGCAACGCGTCTCTCAGTTGATATTTTCCTTTTTGGTTCTTTTCAGCAAGTATATATGGAACATTAACTAGGTGCCCAGGATTATCATTGGTATTAGGGATATAAAATAAAATAAGAACTGCATATGGTCTCAGGTAGATGTAGGCACAAATAATTGCAAAACTATATGATTAAATTTAATGTGACTAAAATTAAAGATAGTGTAATGTTTTTATTGAGACCTTACTCTGATTGGATATCAGTTCAATGTGGATAATTTCACGTGTCTGAAAGATTTACCATGAAAATTCCCTTCGAGTGATTTTTTTAAACTGTAAAGTCAGAGAAATATTAAATTCTTATACAACAATTTCGTTGTTTTACTGTTAATTATAGCAAAGGAAGATGCAAACTGTGCAGTGTGCGACAGCCCGGGAGACCTCTTAGATCAGTTCTTTTGTACTACTTGTGGTCAGCACTATCATGGAATGTGCCTGGATATAGCGGTCACTCCATTAAAACGGGCAGGTTGGCAATGTCCTGAGTGCAAAGTGTGCCAGAACTGCAAGTAAGTTTTAATTTCAACTCAAAGGTGTGTATTGAGTTTAAGACAGACCCTATTATTAGGTCCTAAAGGTTTGTGTAAATATGGTAAAGGTTGTTCATGCTGTAGCTGTATTCGTTCACACTGACTTCATCATATCTTTAAAACTTGCTAGGTATTTATTAACTTTTATATTACTTTGAAACAAGTCTAAACAAAAAATAATTTTAACAGTTTAAATTCCTGGTTTCCTAAAAAGCCAGTTTAAGTTTGCCAACAATTTTAAATGAATGATTTTAACAATTAAAAGCAAACATTAGAAAAATAAAGCAGCTTTTTTTTTTCCCCTTCTTCCTGAGGGACACTGGGGGTGAAATTTAATAGGAAAATAAACCACTAACTATGGAAAGTAGTTATTAGAGTGAGCCAAAGAATCGGTGATAAGTTTCAGTTTCTATTCCAGGAGGAACAATTAATACTAAGTCTGCTGTTTTAAAAGAAATTTCCATATATCTGAAAGGCAGTTACCTTCACTGTAATCCTGAAACAAAATGTTATATGGATGTAAATGTTTGCAATGGGGTTATCTTTTCTTGTTTGTTTTATTCCATCCTTTGATCATTGCTCCAGTCTTTTCTGTGATTTTTTTTTTTCCTCATGCTACTAATTAATTAGCATGATAATTTGGGGACGTTACCTCCATCTACAGCAGTCTTCAAACTGTTTACAAGCTGAGAACTTGTACAACAAGGAGAAATGATGCTCACCATTGCCACATTCAGTCTGTTTTATTTGTAATTTAATTTGACAACAAGCATCAATATCTTAGAATTATGTGGAATAAATAAGACTGTGTGAAAATATCAGTAAACACTTAGTTGATACCTTGTATCTATGCCTAGCTTCTTGAGAAGGAATAAGAGAACATGAAGAAAACAGTGCTGTTCTTCTAGGATCTTTCCACATAGCTGAAGAGAGATACAATGTGCAATTTTACATGTAGAATTTATTAAATAAGAAATTACTGAAGGCCAACTAACCGATCTTCCTTTTTACTTCTGTTTATCCCCAGGTTTTATTCACCGGTTCCTCTCTCAGCTCTTCTTGCATTCCCTAGTTTTTCTTTTCCCCTCCTCTTGAATTAAATTCTTAGTTTCTGATAGGGATTAACAGTCAAGAATCAAGGCAGAGAACTATGGACAGGACAAGGGCCCAATCTTCGGAGTACAAAAGTGTTCAGGGAAAGATTTTAGGTTTTTAATTACAATTCTTAATAATTATGACAAGATTATTATTCTTGTATCTGTTTATTTAGCATTTATTTTTAAATGGATGTTCTTAGCTCTTCAGCCAGAATTATATTTAATTCTCATGGTAATCTTTGATTTTCATTTACATTTTGTACTTGAAGCCAAGAGGACTCAAGTCTAAGTTATTCAGGAGTCTCACAGCTAGAAAAATAGAAGTCTGAACGCAAATGTAGGTTGGATCCAAATCTGATCCTGTCTTCATTATATCACACTGTTCTTCCAGTTCACCGTGCTAGGATTTGTTCCTTTCCATGCAGCATCACCTATTGGTTACAGCTCCTTGCCCAAGAGAGGATGGGTATGGGATGTTTAAAAAATAAAGATCAAAATCACTCATCTTGCCTTAACCCCTCCTTCTCTGCAGGAATCCTAAAATGACCAAAGCAGGTTCACCACAGGTGAACGTTCAGTGAGGATAATCCTTTAGAGACCTTTGGAAGACTGTCTCATCCTCTGGAGGGTTTGCACTGTCATTATCTGGGCATAGGCAAAGCTGACACTGAGGGCATTTTATGAACTGGGCAGTTCCCAGGACAGATTCTTCTCATGATTACTTATGTCACAAACATAAGTTTAAAGATAAGGCATCATTAATGCTATCTTATTTTTTAGACAATCGGGAGAAGATAGCAAGATGCTAGTGTGTGATACGTGTGACAAAGGGTATCATACTTTTTGTCTTCAACCAGTTATGAAATCAGTACCAACCAATGGCTGGAAATGCAAAGTAAGTTGTTTATTTTTTTAAGAAAAATATCATCTGTATGTTTTTTTTATATATAGAGCAGACAAATCAGATACCTATTCAAATCTGTATATTATTCAACTTACAAAAATTTAATTAATGTATAATTGATATACAGTAAACAGCACACATATAAAGTCTGTAATTTAATTAGACACATGTACATTCATAAAACCATCATCATCTTCAAGATAATGAACAAATTTACAACCCCTAAAAGTTCCCAGGTACCCTTGGGACTTCCTCCATTCTCACTGTTCACTGCACTGCTCCCTCTGATTTTCCAGACAGTATGGTTTCTCTCACCATAGATAAGTTTGCATTTTCTAGAATTTTATGTAAGTGATGCCATATAATATATATATACCCTTTTCTTTTTTGGGGGGTGAGCATTTTTTAAAACTCAACATAATTATTTTGAAATTCACCCATAATGTTGCACATACCAGTAGTGATTCCTTTTTGTTGCTGAATAGTAGAAGTACCAGAATTTGTTCATTGAGTCACCTAGTGGTGAACATTTGGGTTCTTTACAGTTTTAGGCCATTTTCAAAAGTGCTGCTATGAACCTATCATCTAACATATATCTATATGGTACTTCATGGCTAAGGAATTGTTTCTGAATGATTCACCTTTAATCTTCGAAACTCTTTGAAGTAGGTAGTATCTCTGTATGTAGATACTAAAATAGGTATATTTTTTAAATCTATTAATTTAAAATCCAGAAATAAAGCAGAGTATATTTGGTTAGATTGATTTTTAGATGATGTTACTTTGATTTTACATGTATATATATTTGTGTGTATTTATGTATAAACTTATATTAAATATTTGGAATCATTGTACATGCATATGTATATTGTTCCTCCCCCATAGTAGTTTTAATAAGTGCTTATTCATTTAGATCTCTGTTGTTTTTAGATGTAAAATTTCTCTCGGGTTTTGAGAGTTAGGATCTGCAGAGATTTTCCCACTTCTTTTTCATTACTTATGATACCAGTCTTTCTGCTTAGTAGGATGCTTTTAATAAGGTGTATTTTCAGCTATTTAAATTTTTTTCTAGGTAGTTGTTCAGTCAGTGATTCTCCCCAGTTCCATCTCTTCTGTTGCCTTTGCATCTGTATGATCTTGAGGTGTTGCAGTCTGAGTTTCTCTAAGCTTGCTGAGGACCTTGTGGAGGCTCTGTTGTCTGAATCTCTAAATTCTATAGGCTAGCTGAAAGCTCTACCCACTGGGCAGTTAGTACAGTACTAGATAACAGCAAATTGAGAGTTACTTGTTCATGGAAGCCAAAATATTCACATTCTTAAAGTGAAAGTAGAAGATGAGAATAGCAGGTTTACCTTTAATTCCCAACTAGCTGAATAAAACTATTTTCTGTTAGGAAGATTTTTACAAACATTATTTACTTTGACTTTTCTTTGAATGTTCTCTAGGTTGAGTCAATCATAAAAATAGTTAATTTGCTTCCTTTGACACCTATAGGGTAAAGTAATAAATTTAGAACTGGTGAGGGACTAGCAATTAAGTGAATTGCTTGAGTTACTAATTTGCAGAGGTAGAAGAGAGACTAAAATTCAGGTTTCTTATATTAGATTTTAATAGTTTATCCAATATATTATGCTCCCTGTGCTATCATACTAACTTGAGCAACAGAGTAGTTCTTTTTTTCCCTGGGCAAGAAGGGGGGTGGCTCATGGGCTGGGCTTGTGGGATCTTAGTTCACCAGCCAGGGATTGAACCCATGCCACCTATATTGGAAGCACAGTCTTAACCACTGGACCACCAGGGAAGTTCCAAGGAATATTAATCTGATTTTCATCTATGTTAGGATTTGGATCCTAGAGAACTAAAGACTAGATCTATTGGGCATCTCTACATACCCCCTCAGGCTGAAAGTTTGTTTTTTTTTTTTAATTATTATTGTAGTCTTAATTTCACAGAGTAGACATGAAGCTAGGCATAAAGTTCTTTGATCTATGGTAATTACAGTGGCTTAACTTAGAAAATAAACATTAATTTAATCTAAAGTAATTTTGCTTTTTAAACTACATTGCCAAGATGTGGTTTAATAGAATGGCATTCTTTGTCTTTAATAATGTTCATACAAAGAATGCCTTTTGTATAATAAGTATTGTATAAAGCCAGGACTGGGTTTACTGGTTCAGAGTAATCAGACCTCAAAAGTGCCAACCAGCAATTCCTTGCATGGCAGATGTAATGAATAAAGTGATACTCAAAAACTTTAGAAACCTTGTGGTTCACAAGTGCACTGTAATGGAACAGTTGAAATCTGTAGTAAGCGGGGGTATTAATTCAATTATTTCTAACACGCAAGCGTTTCTCTTTTTAAATTACCTGTGTGCTGTTTGCAGTTCCTGTTGTCAGGTGATGTGTGTGAAGAATCCCCTCACTCCGCAGGTGCTGCTCACTGCTGCCCAAGCAGTTTCCCTGTGCGGTCCACAGTCTCATTCTTCCTGTGCAAAATCTTGCATCTCTCACACGTCTTAGAGAGCACTTGTGACTGACATAACAACAAATACAAATGCTAAGTGCAAGTGTTAGTCGCTCAGTCGTGTCCGAGTCTTTGTGACCCCATGCACTGTACAGTCCGCCAGGCTCCTCTGTCCATAGGGTTCCCCAGGCAAGAATACTGTAGTGGATAGCTATTCCCTTCTCCAGGGGATCTTCCCGACCCAGGGATTGAACCCGGGTCTCTTGCACTGTATCCGAATTCTTTACGTCTGAGCCACCAGGGAAGCAGTTACATTTTATATTAACTTTTTTAGAAAATTGACTGATTGATTGATTGTCTTGTGGGACCCTTGTTCCCGACCAGGGATTGAACCCCAACCACTTGACCGTCAGGGAATTCCCTGTATTTTTTAGAGTTAGCATTTCCATGAAAAATGTCAGGTTCTCAGGAAACGTAGACCGCAAAGAATACACCTGCGGTCTCCCTTCGCCCTCGCACTCTAGTCCCAGGGATACAGAAACGCGCTTCTGTCACCTCTGCCCTTGATTTTGCGCTGGGGTTCCGGGTGGTGTCAGCATCCTTCAGGCTGGAAGGGCGTGGCCTTCAGGAGCGGAGTGGGCGGGGCCTTTAGGGACGGGGCGGAGACAGAGACGGTCGTTGGAAGCCGAGGCCTCGCTGGTTTTCTGGAGGAGGCGCACCCGCGCGGGGCTCGCAGGCCTCGAGGTGGCGCCAGCCTGGGGGTGCTTCCCGAAGCTGCCTGTGGGGAGTCGGTGCTGGCCAGTGGTGCGGTAGATGTTGGTGGTCCCTCCTCGGAGAGCCCTGGAAAGGGCGGCGATCCTGCCGGTAGGTTCCCGGGAATAGGGCCTGGGTGAGGCGGTGGGAGCAGGCGCCGGGGGTCCGCGACCCGCGCCCCGCTCCACCCCGTGGGAGCGCCGGCACCTGGACTGCCGGCGTGCACCTGGTCCTAGGGCGTGGGGCGTAGCAGGGCGGGGCCGAGCCCGCGGGTAACCGCTCTCAGGTGTGGCCGCCTGGGAGGGCGACCCCGGGGCGGAGGAGGCTCGGTCTCCTGCAGCCCCGGAGCAGTTGCTTCCTGGCTGCGGGACCGGGCGCTTCCGCGGGTTGGCCTCTGGTTTGGTTCGGTTCCGGGTTGAAGAAAGAAACCTGCGTCGGATGCGTTTGTATGTTTACCCTTAATCTCCACCACCGCTCCTCTTTTTACTTTTCTGAAATAGGAAGTTGAATTCGTGATCTCTTCCTTCGCTTTCCTTAGGAAGAGATATTTCAGACTATAAATTTACCTTTGATTATAACTTTGGCTGCACTCAGATTTTTTGTACTGGTAAATTTAGGCACTTTTTTTAGGTTGTACTTAAACATATTAGATTCTGTTTTAATTGTGTTAAATCAGACAGTTTCGCTAGTGTAGCTTTATGACGTATATTTGGATGCCCTCCAATGGTGACGTTTTAAACTTGTAGTATTTGTGTTTATTAATTAGATGAAGCTCTTTTTCTCTGTTTTTGGCTGTTTGATTCAACAGCATATTCAGATGTAGTTACAATTGACCACTATCAATTTCTCCTTGCATTTTGCTCTTTTTTTTTTTTTTTTCCTTTAAAAAACTATTTCGTGCTGGTTATTAAGCAGGTAGGTCAGGCTAATGATGATTTGCTTTTTATCAGTGTAAAACTGTACTCTGTATTCTGTGTATGCCCCCTATTTGAGAGGAGGGAACAAGAAATTTTGCTTTGCTTGACAATATGGCCGTGCGGGGTTTTAGTTTACACGTTGAATGTGATCTTTTCACATCGTTATACTGGATCCTTCTGTGTCATTTTAACTGTACCTTTTGAGGGTTTAATAGTCAAGCACTTAGATTAATGGATGTAATTGAAATGCTTGGCTGTTTTAAGACAAGTCTGTTCTTTTAGCTTCCTGTTTTTCAGTTCTTTTTATTCCATGCAATGATTGCAATTCAGAATCGTATTTTATGAATATTAAGTTATAAATGAAACTATAAAATTTTTTGCTCCTGTTTCCCGTTGAAAATTAAGAAATCGGAAGTTTTCTCTCTGCCTTCTGTCGTGAGTTAACCCGGACTGTAGACCACGTCACTTTTTCTTTGGTGGGGAGGGGGGGGGAGTCTCTGTAGTTTCCAATGTCATCTCACCACTACTAGTCTTTTGAAGACAGGGTTATGCACCTCTATTTTTAAAAGATCTTAAATTTTCTGGACTCTTACAAACGTGAAAGAGACTATTGCCTTCCACCTATGACATGAACTTTGTCTGGCAGAGTTTTGCATTACAGCTTTTTTCTTTTTACTCTGGAAACTTTTTCTTTCTGTGTTGACCGTCATTTTCCTTTTAGGCCCAATGGAAAGACCTAGAGAAGTGTTGATTAAATTCACTTTCTTTCTTTTTTTAAAACATATTTACCTTCTTTACATTCTCTTTAATAACTTTTAGTAGCATCTAGGTAATTTTGTTTCCTATTTTAAATCATTATCTTCTTTGTTGTAGTTTTCATTATCTTGGAGAATGTGTCCAGAATTCTGAGTTTATTTCTGGAGGCTGTTCTCTGGCTTCCTTTTGTGCTGCCCTCTTACTGACTTGCTTTCTGTAATTGCTGCTATTTTTCACATGGCGGAATTATTTATAATACTGCTGAGGATGAGGAGATAGGGCAGTGTGTTTTGTTCTGTTCTATGAAGGTATTATAAAGTGATTAAAAAGATTAGGCCGTGGAGTCAAATCTCAGGTTTTTCACTTAGTAAATACAAGATCGTTGGCAATTTATTTGATTTCTGTAAGCCAAGTTTCATTCTGTAGCTAAAGTACTTACCTCACAGGGGTGTTGGATTGTTAAGTGCTCAGCATATTGCCTGACATAAGTGCTCAATTATCCTGGGAGTTTTTCATAGGAATACTTATCCTCTGAGCAGTTTGAAGAGTGAAACTCTTCCTCTGCTGTTGAACTCTTTCGTATCTGTTTGTAGTTTTGAGTCAAATGCAGGCGCTGTGGTGGAGGCTGGGGGTACAGGGGCAGCCAGGTTTGCCTTCCTGGGGCGTCAGTCTGTTGTGGCTGTCTGAACTCAGGTCAGGATGCTCCTTTCAGGATCTTGTGTACCAGTCATTGTTCCGCAGCTTTCTTTTCTCTATTTCTCTCTTGAGAATGCCAGTGTGTTGGTATGTGATACATTTTAAAAGGCTTTATTTGGAAGTAATTTCAAAGTTTAAAAGCAAGAAAAATAAAAATAATGCCTATATGCTATTTACCTAGATTCGTTAGTTGTTGGGATTTCAGCAGGGTCATCCATGCCCTTTCTCCTTTCTATCTCCTCCCTGCCCACCCCACCCTATGTATTAATATTTTTTTTTTCCCTGAATCATTTGAAGGGTGAGTTACACACACCATGTTCTCTTTACCCTTAAGTACTTAAATGTGTATTTCCTAATAATGGGGATATTCTTACATAATCATTGCACTATTGTCACTCCACACATTTACATCAATCTAGTCTACCCTTCGTATTTCAACTTGGCACTTGATTTAATGTCCCATCCAGCATTTCCCTCTTCCCTGTAGGTCCTAGGATCTAGTCTAGGGTCAGGTGTTCCATTTAGTTGTCATGTTTCTTTAGACTCCTTTAATCTGGAAAGTTTCTTAAACCCTCCTTTGTCTTTTTGGTATTGATAGTGTTGAATAATGGAGTTTTCCCTCACATACCTGGGTTATTTGTTTTAATCACAAATGGAACTTTGCTCCTTTTGTCTTTGTCTGACATATCCTCACAATTGTATAGTCACTCCTTCTTGGCCAGGAGATTGAGCAAGTCTGTGCCCTTGGCAGGCCCTCACCTGGATGCACCTGGAGCTTCCCTCTCCCTCATAGGCGATGTGAGTTCTGAGCGTCTGCTCAGGCTGCTGTTTTTCCACTGGTTTTTCTGTCTCTAAAAGTGTTCTGTGAGGAAACACTTGAAGACCTTGCAATATCTTATTGGTCCTCAAAATTTTCTCCATGATGATAGGAACCAATGCCTGATGCAGTGTTTTAACCTCTTATCTGTAAAATACGCTTTTCTAAGTAAACATTTACCTGTCAACCTCTGTATTCTATTGTAATCCAGAGTCCGCCCTTCTTTCACATGTTAAAATTCTTTATATGTTGTCAGTACTAACCCATGAATTCTTGTTACTGTCAGTAATTTACTACTGTACCTGATTAGTTTTGTGCTCAGATTGCTCCATTTTGCCTTTGGTGGTCTCTCCATTCTGGCTCCTGTGTCTTTGTGAGATGTCCTCCCATTTATGTGAGCACTTCATTATATTTGGGCATAGCACGATGTTCCAAAGTCATCTTCTACCTTCCCTGCCCTGGAATCGGTAGTCCTTTCTGTAAATAGTCCATGTTCCTGTAGTGGAGGTGGGCTGCTGGGTGTGCCCACTGCTCTCTGGGTGTGTATTGCTCTGTGGGTGTTTGCGTCTTTGTCCTCCCAGCAAGTGAGGCAGGAACTACATGCCTGTACACACACTTACACATGTGCATGTGTACATGTACACACGTAAGTATGTGTGTACTCACATATGGACATCACTTATAAATGATGAATTTATACCAGTACTGCAATTCTGATCCCTCCCGCCAGTTCTTTGCCTGCCCTCATTCTTACATATCCATTCTTGTATAGTGTACGGTGAGAATCCTTGTGCTTTGCCTGTTATTCTCGAAGTGTTTTTAATTTCTCATTCTTGGCTTCTTTAGTTTTTAAAAGTACATAGGATATTAACATTGTTTCAAAAACTTTTGGTTTCTCCTTCCTGTGTGTGTGTGTTTTTTAATGATAAGCAAACATGTTTCCCTTTTCTACACTGAAGGTAGCATATTATTATATGTGCTCTTTGGTATGTCACTTCTTTTACTTATTATCTGAAATTCATTTCAGTTTATAGAAATCTTCCTCATTCCTTTTTTTTTTTCCCCTCTGTATTTGAAACACAGTTTTTCAACCTGTGTTCTATGCTTCAATATTTAGGTAGTTTCTAGTATTTTACATTAGAATGATTCTGTAGTCAGTAACTTTGTGCCTATGGGTTTTTGAATTGTTGGGAGCAAATCTTTAGAATAAATTCCTGGAAGTGGGTTTGTTGCCTGGGTTGGGGGGATAAAAGCATATGTAGTTTTGTTTGGTATTGTCAAATTCCCTTTCATGGGATTTGCGTCAGTTGCTGTTGCCGCCACTCATGTGTGAGAGAACTTCTTTTCTACGTTCTTGCCAATAGGGTGTCATATTTGGCTTTTGATTTTTTGCCTGTCTGAGTGAAAAATGTTACCTCAATGTAGTTTAATTTTCATTTCTCTCTTGAGTGAAGTTGGCCATGTTTTCTTATGCTTAAGGGTCATTTTCACCCCTTTTTATGAGTAGTCTTTTCTTGTGTTTTGGATGTTATTCTTGAAGATTTTGACCCCCACCCCACCCCAATTAAGAGTTCCTTGTATAGTCAGGATATAAGGTCTTTATCTGTGTTGTATGATGCAAATATTTTCTTCCAGTTTCTTACTTGCCTTTTGACTTCATCTGTGTTTTTGGGTTTTTTTGCCATATAACAGTTTATTTTTGTGTAGTCAGATTTATCAATCTTCTATTGCTTCTGGAGTTTTTAG